ATACATATCGCACACCGTCTTCAAAAGAGTCACAACTCAAAATTTGGCATTTTTGAGATTATGCGCTAAAAATGTATACAGAGCTTTTATTTACCTTTTAGCAAAAGTTGGAGCAAATTTTTGTTATAATTTGTTAAAAAAAACTTAAGGTAAAGTCGCCCTTGCCCATATGATTATCTTGTGCTAAGAAATAGTTTTTCGCAATTTCTGACAAACGTATTATTTTGAGTTGTGACTCTTTTGAAGACGGTGTGCGATATGTACATATATGATCAGCCCCTCCTGGCGCTTTTGTACATATGTAGACCGTAAATGTTATACAAAAAGAACAAATACAAGTTTTTATAAATGCAAAATATACATACGCACATATAATAGGGTAGCTTAGAGTGAAAAGTAGTTAAGTTAATTTATTATGAAAACTTACATTTTGATACAGAAAGTAAGGAAAATTAAAAAAGTATAGATTTCAAGAGGACTGAATTGATAGACCAAGAGCTCATGACCAAAAATACTTCAGATCGATTGAAGTTTTTTGTAAGCTTAGCTTGCTAGTATGTGAATCGATATCCGCAGGGCTGGCCGCTGAACAGCGGTCTTGACCATGATTTAATAATACAAGGTTATGTAATTTGTGACAGGTCAAATTTGACACTCCTTTATCTAGATTTGTATTTCGGAAGTAGGAGAAAGGGGAAGAATGTGATCGCCTTTTGCGAAAACGGCGGTAGAAAGGTACTGAAAAAAAGTACGCAAAGTATACAATTAGAAGTAAAATGTGTATTATTAATTCTACATATGTGAATTTGCAATATATTTGGTGTTTTAATGGAAATACAACACAATACGTCAAAATATTTATAATTGTCATATCCTGAAACAAATATAGGATATCAACCGTTCAGCTATACAAAAACGAAAAATACAGATCAGTAGAACTTTTTACGCTCATTTCAACCATGCCAAATTTATTCGGCGCAAGTAAAAAATAAAGACGGTCTAGAAGGTTAATGTTAAATATTTTGATATTTTAAATATTAATATCGTATGAACTACATAACCGATTAAACAACTGATGACGTCACCATATATTATATTTATATGCTTTTTTATATTTTCAAACCAAGACCACTAAAAAATGAACAAATGTTATTTTTTCATGAAATAACCTTTTTTGCATAATTAATGGCGAAGAAATTTTGTTCTATTTAGAAAGTACTAGTTTTTATCTTTAATTCGATATGCATATTTTATCATGATCTTCTTTTGAGTTTCAAGAATTTAGTGATAGTAAAATATATAAACAAACAAAGCAAATAAACCTCTTATATCTTCTTTATTTTTTAACTGCGCCAAATAAATTTGGCATCGTTGAAATCAGCGAAAAAAGTTCTATCAATCGGCTGTTTGGTTATTTTTATAGCTAAACGGGCGCTATTCTAGACTTGTACAAGAAAATTACGCAATTGAAGGTGATGCCAACGAATCTTTAGTATGAAGAATTTTTGGTTTTACTACTCGTATAACTAGAAACTATAGAGTCAGCAACATTGTGCACAAGTAACTAAAAGAGCCAATTTTATGTGTGGGAGCGAGAAGACTGCTATTACAAAACCTTTCTATTATTGAATCATGGGTCTTGACCCTGCGTTTTAGCTATTAAAGATGCCAATAGAAACCGATTAATCAACATACTTCAGATGATTTGAAATTTTGATAGAATTTTTTTTTACAGTAGTATATAGAAAATGAATCCAAGGTTGCCTGCCCATTTTTACGGTCTTATTAAAGTACTGCCAGACCATGTTGAAAGTGTATTGTTGCAACTATGAGTCAACATACTTCAGATGAGCTGTCCTTTTAACAGCACATTAGAAATATTATAAATAGATGCAATTTCTACAGCCAGCCCCTTCTGATGGTCTTAAAGTACTGCCAGCGCATTTTGAAAGTGCATTGTTACAAGTATAACTCAACCAGGGATGTTGCGAATGATTCGCATCATTTTACACATTCGCATTCTCATCAAATGATACGAATTTTTTTGCGAATGCGAATTTGCACATGTTGAAATGGCTCTGAGTCTGTCTAACCAGGGTGCGGACAATAACCGGCTTTCAGCTTTAGGCGCTAAGTTGTATATCAAACAAGATTGATGGGCCTTCAAAATGTACTGCTAAAAGTCGTAAAAGCAACATAGAAATTATTTAAGATTCCTCGAGGGAAAGCGAGAGCTCGGATGCAGATTCTGGAGACATAAAAAATGTGAGATTAAAGCTCAATTGAAGGCCTATCTTAAAGAAAAACGAGCTCATCTCGGTGAAAATCCTCTCGCTCCACCCGCCAGCGTTCCAAGTGAGCAATTGTTCAGTGCAGCCGGCCTTATATACGAGCCTCTAAGAAATCGCCTCATGGGAGAAAAGGCAGCACATATATGGATGTTACACTCAATCCTATAAAAGGGGTTATTTTTGCCTTCTTGTTCATGTCTGGCTCACGTAATTCTCGATATTGTCGTTTTAAGCCACTATCTGATTTTCAAGGCGAACCATCACCCCTGACAAAGCTTCAAAGGGCAGGCAATGTGCCGTTTTTGCCTAACATGAGTGTGGAATTTTAAGAAACGAACACGAAATTTTCTCACCCTTTGCCTTCATTTTACAACAGAATGCGAAAAGAGAAAGGGGCAATCAAAAGGCGACATTTTTTGGTAGAAACGAAATTATCATAAGTAAAATAAGCAAGTTTAGTTTCGACCACTTCTTTACTTCATAATTGTAATTTTTTTCGATCAGAAATAATAACGTACTTATGAATTTTAATCATGTCATTCGCGTAGATCTAATCCGATTCACATCCGATTCCACCTAGTGTGCACGTATCTGACGAATACCATTCGCACGAATCTAATCCTTCACCCTCGCTTGCTATGACGGTGGGAATCGGATTAGATTATTATTATTATTATTATTATTATTATTATTATTATTATTATTATTATTATTATTATTATTATTATTATTATTATTATTATTATTATTATTATTATTATTATTATTATTATTATTATTATTATTATTATTATTATTATTATTATTATTATTATTATTATTATTATTATTATTATTATTATTATTATTATTATTATTATTATTATTATTATTATTATTATTATTATTATTATTATTATTATTATTATTATTATTATTATTATTATTATTATTATTATTATTATTATTATTATTATTATTATTATTATTATTATTATTATTATTATTATTATTATTATTATTATTATTATTATTATTATTATTATTATTATTATTATTATTATTATTATTATTATTATTATTATTATTATTATTATTATTATTATTATTATTATTATTATTATTATTATTATTATTATTATTATTATTATTATTATTATTATTATTATTATTATTATTATTATTATTATTATTATTATTATTATTATTATTATTATTATTATTATTATTATTATTATTATTATTATTATTATTATTATTATTATTATTATTATTATTATTATTATTATTATTATTATTTATTAACAAACTAAATAAATTAATACGTTAATATTATTGAGCGAGCATTAGCTGCCAGGACTATCAGCTTGAAATAATAAACTCTTTGTGTATCACTTCGAGAAGTAAAATTGTCAATCAAAGATCAGCTTTAATAAAATAATTATTTCTATATACGGGCACGAATATGCTTTATAAAGTTGTTTATATAATTTATATTTTCTTTCGTAGGCGTTTTAAGAAGTTCAGTCCAGTTGCTTTTAAGATATTGGTTTCTGATTTCAACTAAATAGGTTATAACAGTCTTGAAATATGTGTTTTAAAGAGAGCGTATCTACACAGAGGGCACAGGATTGAGGTGGATCACCGGCCAGGAGATATTGGTGATCGTTATACTTAGATTTATTTTTTCAAACATAACAAATTCAAAGCGATCATGACAAAATATATATGTAAGTATTTGTCCAATTCATGATGTAATAGAATCGGGCGGCTTCCCTTCCATATAAAATATGAGAAAAATAGCGACGACGACGAATTAAATAAAAATTAGTTTCTTAGTGAACTTGAGGACGCTCAATCCAATGATGTAATTTGCTTTTTTTTATAATTTTCATACTTTCACGGTAAATGCAGTTTGAAGCTAAAAGTTGCCTGCCTAAAGTAGCTGTTAGACGTAGCAAGAAGTGCAAGTCCTTTTCAAAAGTCTGTCAAACTCAAGAATTTCCAAAAGAGATTGCAGGAGCAGTTACACCTTGAATGTAAAGTGGCTTTCGAAAGCAGTTTTTATTTCTGAAAATCAAACTTTCCAATTCTGCTTTTTGTCTGTTTACACGGTGAATGCAGACAAGTCCACTTTCAACTATGTTACCACACATTTTTATGTATATAACAAAATTAATGACCTGAAAAATTTACTAAACTTGCTAAATACACACACACGCACAAAACAGTCTAATACATTAATACATGAAATTCTTCATGATCCAATGATCGGATCTAAACCAAATTTGTATGGGACCACATTCGAGGTACCATC